TTTCCCTACTCAATAGGTTCTAGTGGCTTCTTATTACCTCCATGGCAAATTATAAAGTTCTCTTTGTCTGGTATTTAAAGCTTTCCATAACCTGGCCCTGCCTTACCTTTCCAGTCTTCTTACACTTTACTCCCCTGTGCAAATTCCTCACTCTCACTTCACATTTCCAGTCCATTTTGAAATCTTGTTCTTTCTACCTTCACAAAGTCTCTCCTATACATCCTCTTCTTTCTACTCACATAGCTGCCACCATGGTGCAGGCACTTCTCACCTCATTTCTGGACTAATCCACTAGTCTTTGGATTGGTCTCTCTGCCTATCTCTCCCCACTATGGTCCATATTTCACTTAGTTTCCAAAGTTATCTTCTTAAAGTGAAAGCCTTAATATGTTGCTCTTCTACTCGATGAACTCCAGTGGCTCCCTATTACCTCCAGGACCAGAGTCTTTGGCTTTTACCGCTCTTTACAACCTTCCCCTTTCCCACCCTTCCAGTCTTCTTACACTTTACTGCCTTTGTCATGTTCAAGTAAGACAAGGATCACACAGACACACAGACACACACACACACACACACACACACACACACACACACACACACACTCATCTCCTGACTCTGCCTCTTCAGTGGTTTTCCCCCAAGCCTGGAATGCTCTCTCTCCTTGTCACTGCTTCCTGGCTTCCTTGGCTTTTGTTAAGTCTCTGTTCAAATCCTTTCTTTAGCAAGAACCTTTCATTGTCCCTTTTAATGCTTGTGCCTTCCCTCTGAGATATATACCTTGTATATATCTTGCATATACGTAGTTGTTTGCCGGTTGTTTCCTCCATTATATTGTGAGTTTCTGGAGTGCAGCAACTTTTTTTTTTGCCTTTCTTTGTATCTTCACTGCTTAGCACATAGTCTGGCACTTTAATAGGGTGCTTAATAAATGGTTGTTGATTGATTTCCAATCATTAGCAACACCCTTCCCCAACTTCATTGCATATATTGTCTATTTACCTATTTGTGTACCTGGTGTGAGTGTTTCTCTCCCCTTTTCTATTTATGTCACCATAATCAAATCAATACTTCTACTGCTTTCTTTAAAGATGTGTGGCAATTTACTCCTTTGTGGCTCCATTTCCCCCCACTTATCCCCAGCAGGTTTTTTCTGCCTGCCCCTCCCTACTTAAAATGTAAGTTCCCAGTGGGCAAGGACTGTCTCTGCTTTTGTATTTGTATTTCTGGCACTTTGCTTAATGAGGCATGATTTTTATTCAAGGGCTCAATGACTTTTCATTTTTGTCTCTATATTACCTAGGCCTAGCCCAATACCAGACTTAGAAGGCACTTAATAAATATCTCTTGAATTAAATTAGAAATACCTGCAAGTCTAGAGAGAAAAGGTGTGGTAATAGCAGTCAGTTTGGAGAGTCACTAAGTAAGGCTTCAAGATCGATGGTCGATTGTGATAAAGCTTCAGCAACCCCAGTAATAGATGCTAAATTAAGGCTCGTGTATCTCTGTGTAGCTGGAAGAAATCAGTCAACCTGTGGAGTCAGTGCATTTTATGTATTTTTCCAATGGCAGAAAAGGAGCAGCTCTCTTGGAGATTGTCCCTGTTTACACTGTGGAGATAGTACAATCTTTCAGACAATGGTTAGATAGGGATCACCCGACCTGAGAGTCCAGGCTGTGTCATTAACTAGCTCTATGACCTTGAGCAAATCCTTTCACTGACCTTGGTTTCGGTTTGTAGTTCAGAGATTATAATACCTAAGCTAGAAAGCAGCTTGTGAATGTCATTTTCATTGGATAACTTTAGAAATTACCCAATCCTATTGCTTTATGAATGAGAATATAGAAACTCAAAGCAGTTAAGCAATTTGCCTAATGTCACACATCTAGTCAGTGGCTGACTTGCTTCTACTCTTCTCTAAATGGTTGCTGAATAGATTGTTTGAGATTCCATCGATCACTATGTATGTGTTGCATATTTACTATGTACTAGTCCCTGAGCTGGGTGCTAGGACACAAAGACAAAAAAATGGAGTCTCTACCTTCAAAAGAGCTTATATAGGATCATGATAATAGGTGATGCTTATATAGCACCAGGCTGCTTTATAAATATCTCATTTGACCACCTTGGGAAATAAGTGCTACTATTACCTTTATTTTAAAGATGAAGAAACTGAGGCAAACAGTGGTCAAGTGACTTGCCCAGAATCCCATAGCTAACTAAATTCAAATTAGCTATCAAGGTCAAATAGTTATCTGAGACTAAATTCGAACTCAGGTCTTTTTGACTCTTAGTTTGGTACTATACACTACGCCACCTAGCTGTCCAGGTCTCAAACTTCTCTAATCATAAGACCTGGAAAGGAAAATAGGTAATTCCACCCCACCCCACCCGTCATTTTACAGGTGTGGAAACGGAGGGTCCAGAGAACTTAAATGAGTTAGTCATAAAGGCAATATTTGAATCTAAATCCGTCGACTCTAAAAGCAGTGTATTATTATATTATATATATAACATATAGTATTATCCACTGGATAATACTATTTCCTAATGACATTTTCCCTATGAAAGGGATAGCAATATATTTCTCTCCTTAATTTATATTGCTAAAATGGTTGAGGACTGTTAGTTTGGGAAAGAAGAGTGTTATCTGTAATTATTAATTTGGGGAAAGAGCCTGGGCAGGGGGGTGGAAAGGGAGTCTCTCTGTACAGTCTTCGTCTGTGGACCCGATTCGGATTCTAAAAGCAAAATAGCCGCAGATTGACAGAAAAAAAAGGGACTCTATTTTTCTCTTTGTTGCTAATCGCTACCTTCAGGTAAATAGGTAAATATTATATTAGGAGAGCTTCCTTTTTCAGTCTTCTGGGGCAGTCTGGTTTGTTCCCTGACTCTAGCTCTACCTTCTGGAAACTTACTGCAAGAGGTAAAATTAGGAGACGCGGGGTGGGGTCGGGTGGTGAGGCGGGTATAGCTAGGCTTTCCAGAGTTCTCCAGCTTGGAAAAAAAGGGAGACACAGCCCATTTGTAAGGCCGCAAAGAGCTTTCAAGGCGGTGGACATCGCCAGAACACTGCTGTGAAGAGGGCAGGGTAGGGGGAGGTGAGGAGTATTTGCTGAATCTCTCGAGTTTATCCAAGGAATCGGGGCCCGCAGTCTAGTAAGTTATATTTAAATGAATGTGCTGAGTAAAGAAAAGAAAAGGAGGGCTGGAAGAACGGATAACTGAGATAGTCAAAGAAATTTAACTCAGTTCTACACTGAAGTGCAGGGAGCCTCAGCGAATGAATGAGAGAGGGAGGGAGGGAGGGAGGGAGAGAGAGAGAGAGAGAGAGAGAGAGAGAGAGAGAGAGAGAGAGACAGAGAGAGACAGAGAGAGAGAGACAGAGAGAGACAGAGAGAGACAGAGAGAGAGAGAGAGAGAGGCGAAGAGGAAACTAGGAAAGAGGTGGAAGGGGAAGTGGGGTGTGGTGCGTATAGCGGGGTGGCTGGGGGTGCGGGAAGGATAAACAGCAGCTCAGAGCCAGGAGGAAAAAAAGGAGGAGGAGGAGGAGGAGGAGGAGGAGGAGGAGGAGGAGGAGGAGGAGGAGGAGGAGGAAGGAGTCCCAACTTTGCACGCCTCCTCCTTGTCTCCTCCCATCTTCTCTTTCCACTCCACCCCAGTGGAGCAGCGGCAGCGGCGGCGGCGGCGGCTGCAGTCTGCCCACCGCAGCTCTACTTAAGGCTGCCCTTAGAGCGCCGGAGTGGGAGGCAAAGCGAACGGGCTCCGTCCTCCTCCTCTTGCTCCTGGTCCTCCCCCCCCAAGCATCAGCTCTGCCCCTCCGACCTGCACGCCTGGCGCCCGCACCCTTGCTAGGTGTGCTAGCTTAGCTCCCACTCTCCGCTTCCCCGACTCCTTCTCCTGTCCCGAGGAGTCTGGTCTCTCTCTGAGTCCACAGGGGGTTGGCCGGGGCTAGTGAAGGAGCCGGAGGTGGGGCGCCAGGGAATGGTGTTCGTTTGGGCGCCCGGGGCTTCTGGCAGCCGCCCGGACCAGTGACTGGGGCCAGTGGAGCCGGGTGGAGGCGGGGAGGCCGAGGGGGGAGTGGTGCTGGAGATCAAGGGAGAGACGCAAGGCGGCCGGCCCGAGGACAGGGAGAGCTGGAGTAGAGGCTGGGATCGGGCACGGGACCGCCGGCGTACGGGAGCAGCTGGACCGGCGCTAAGAGGGAGGAAGAAGGACGTCTCCAAAGGGCACAGGTAAGGGGTCCGAGCGGCTGGAGATGGGGCAAACTGGGGAAGAGGTTGGCGTTCTAGGAGGGATCCGACGATGTGCAAGTGAGGGACTCAGCGCGCTCTCTCAGCTTGGGAGCCAGAGCCCAAAGCATCTTTCCGATCGCCAGAAACTTTTTTGGAGTCGCAGCCACTCCAAGAGGTCCACCTCCCTCCTCCTCCCCAGAGCTGAATTTGGGTATTCGGGCTGTGGCTGTGGTAGTTTGCCGCGGGCGCAACTGAATTCCAGGCTTTGGTCTTCTTGCCTTCTGGATAGCCTTACGGAGCCCAAAGAAGAAAGTTTCTTCGCGGTCTGGGGGCGCTAGCTCCCTCGCCGTCTGCACCCGGAGGGTACTGTTTATAGTATGGACCTATGAAGTTAGGGGGGACTGTGGAGGGGCCGGGGCTTATCACTGGGGTTATTTTCCTTCCTCCCTGGGCCGGGGGAATCGAAAGACAAACACCTGGGAACCGGTACTGCTGGGGGAAGGGAGACAGTTTCTCCGTCTGCTTTTACCACTGTGGACACGTCGGTGGCTCACTGATTGCATAGGCGCTTGGGGGAGGGGATCTGGGGTGGGAGTAGGGTGAGGGGGGGTGTGCGGCAAGAGGGAGGGGCAAAGAAAAAAAGAGGGGGTGGTTTTACCCTTCTAAATCCTATCTTTCTCCTATTGGGTCCTGAGGAGTTGGATGCTTTGAAGGGTGATAATCCAGCGTTTTAAAATGGATAACCCTTAGTCGCGCTTGTCCCCGGGATGGCCCTTGTAATTCCAAGGAAATTTATCGTTTACCGAGTGAGTGTCTCCGTCCCGGTAGTGTGGATGGAATTTACACACACAGCCTCTTCCCCCCGCCCCGTCCCCATCAGGATTCCTCTTACTAACTCAAACCACACTAGACTTATTTAGTTTGGTAAAACTGGAAAGTAGAACCGAAACTTGTGTTTGGATCACTGGTTTTGAAATGTGGGTTCTTGTTGTAGATGTTGCTATTGATGGTTTGAAGTTTATTCTTTGTTTTTTGTTGGAAAGTAGTCAAGGCATCCTGGACTTGACTACTTCCATCCTAATTTAGGTGGTGGTTATGAAGACGGCTTCAGCCTTTAAAGATGACTCTTTCAGGACCTGAAGTGTACTTATCTTTGTCTCTTGCCACCTTTTCCCTATCACTTCAGGTTAGAAACGCTCTCAGGATTTCTTTTCTCTTGGATGAGTGCCTCTTTTTCCAATTTCATTTACTTCTCAATTTTCTCTCTCTTCTCTCTCCCTCTCCCTCTCCCTCCCTCCCTCTCCCTCTCTCTCCCTCCCTCCCCCCCCCCCTCTCTCTCTCTCTCTCTCTCTCTCTCTCTCTCTCTCTCTCTCTCTCTCTCTCTCTCTCTCTCCCCCCCTAAATGGACACTTAAAATAACCTTACTGCACTATTCTACCTAGTATATGTCTGTCGATCCATGAAGTTGAGACATGTAATTTGGACCCCAGACTTCTGTTTGGCTGAAGTCTTTGTCCCTTGGGGAAAAAAATATAATTATTTTAAGAAGGTGTGATCTTGTCTGGCAGGAGATCAACAGTAAAGAGGATGTCTGTTAAAGTTGTCTTGGTTGTCTGGGCCATTGCATAAATTTGCCTAGGGATCCTAAGTTTTTACTATTTAAACTGGAGTGAGTTGGGAATTCTGATTATTTTGTTCAGCATTTTTCTTTTCAACCTTGGTAAGAAAGAAAATTGAATGGATGCTAGTTGTATTAAGTAAATATATACTCTATTAATTTCTTACAACTTTTTTTTTAAAACATTATTAAAAAACTAGAGTTCAGGAAGAGATACAATTAGGTGTAGTAGAAAAATTATCAGATTGAAATACAGGAGTCTGGATTCTAGGTCTGTTTCCACTAACTGGCTCTGTGATCTTGATCTAGCTTAGTCACATAACTTGCCAGGGCCTCAGTTTTTTAATCTGTAAAAGGAGAGAGTTGGACTAAATTTTAAAAAGTAAACACTATTATTATTCCCATTTTACAGTTGAGGAAACTGAGGCAAATTGGAGTAAGTGATTTGCCCAGATTATCTCTGAAGTTTACTTCCAGGCTGTAAGAGAATAAAATAGATGGTTATTCCAATGTTAAATAGATAAGAAGTAGGAAATAATGGGAAAGAGTTAGAAGGAGGAAAGTTAGGGAACAAGAGGGCATATGAATAGGAAGGTCAGCTCACAGAAGGAAATAATAATTGGTTGGAGGAAGGGGAACTTAAACTTCCTTTGACTTTTCTTTTCCCTTCTTTGCTCTCATGAGGACATCTAACATTGTTTCCCCTTTCAGAATGGTCTGTCTTTATTTTCTTTAGTATCTGACCACAGCCATTCTTAAAACTGATATGCTGTTCCTTGAGTCTGCCTTATTACTGATATGATCTACCAACTCACCATTTATGTAGTGGAACCACCAATGCTACCAGAGGCTGCTCAGGCTCTAATTTCATTATGTAGTAAAGTATGCATTATTGTTATTAGTATATATACTAATGATATCTCAATAATAATAATTCACCTTTATGTAATGCTTCACAGCTTACAAAGGAATTTCTACACAGCTCTATAAGATAGTCCAAATGGCATCCTCATTTTACAGATGAGGAAACTGACCTTCAGATTAAGTAACTTGTGTAGTATATCTACTTAGTAGGGAGGAGGGGGGAGGTCTAGGATGTGAAGCCAGCTCTTCTAACTCCAAATGTAGCTCGGTGGATTGAGCACTGGCCCTGGAGTCAGGAGGACCTGAATTCAAATCCATCTCTTAGCCTATTTTTGCCTCAGTTTCCTCACCTGTAATGTGGGGATAATAGAGTGCTCATCTTCCTGAATTCAAATCTGGCCTCACTTAATAGCTATGTGACCTCGTGAAAGTCACTTAACTCCAATTGCAAAAAAAAAAGACCCAAACATAACAGATTTTGGAGAGTTTGAGTGGAAACCCTTCCAAGAAGGTTCATTTTGAAACTCTTTAAATGTAATATTGTTATGGACTTTGATTTTTCTGGATAAGCTATAAACTTTTCACAGTTTAAAGAGGGCAAGACTCAAGGGAACCTGGTGCAGCTTAGAGCTTCTGGAAAAACATAAAGAGAAAAAAAATCACACTTGCTAAGTTGGTTTGCTACACTGTGCCATTCATTCTGAAATCAGCCAATTTCAGGGCTAAGAATCCTATTTCAGCTTGGCAGGGGAAGCTGCATGCCAGGCTGAATAATGCTATATCATTAGAACTATGCTTTTGAGTTTCATTAAGACAGAACTGTTGAACTTTAGTTATGAGTACCAGATTTTAATGTATCACTAATGTTATACAGCATATTTTTCTTTGTCTTTTGATTTAAAAATTAATATCCACATTTACATCAGGAACAGTGCTGCGTGGGCTGCTGAATGTAGCCTAAATTGACCACAAATATAAGCTCTTCTGTTGTTGAACTCCCAAATGGAAGATTTTGTGGTTAGGGCTTTCCTATTGTTTTGGGACTTAGCAGTTGTAGACAGTTGAAAAGTAGTTGGTGAGAGAGGAGGAACAAGATTGTACAATCAACTACTTTGGGAGAAGAATAAATATTTAAATTTAAGTCATGAGGGCTTTAAACACATTGGGAAGAAGTCTCTCCTTTGGGAGATGCAATTTGGGAATGTGTAAGAATTAAAAGTCTGAATGAGGCTTTACTTGGTAGCCCATATGTGAATGTGGAGGATGGAGTAGCAGTTTTGTTCCTTTCCTTTAAATTGTGGTGCTTTTTAGACTTTTGAGACATTTAGAGATCTTACTTAGTAGAGGAAAAAAAGGGTTTTGTTTTGTTTTTTGTTATGTCATTCAGACTTGGTGAGACAGTATGATGGAGTAGTTTAAAAGTTACTCTGTGAAAATACTAGTAGTAAAGGAAAATGCTGAATTACTGGGAGGGCATCTCCTGCAGCTTTAAATTGAAATGACTATTTGGTATTTGGGAATTTTGGAAATGAATTTTTTTTGTTGGGTTTTGTTTTTGGCATATGAGAAAGAGCTTATGGGAAGGGCATTTTAAAAGGTCTAGAACTGAAGAGAAGACTTAAGAGGGTCTAACAGGTAACAGTTCTATGAAGAGCACTGGGGACCTCAGAGAGGTAGATAGTAATTTGCAAATTCTGCAAAATCCCTTATACAGCTTAATGAATATGAGCCTTTTGTTCAAACCAATAAAATAATGTTTCTTTAAGCTGATATTTTTTGGGGGGGTGGGAAGAAGGGAGGAGTTGGGCTACATTGCTGCACTGATTTGCTTTCTTAGGTGATTCATCTCATTACCTCTCAGAATTGGAGACTTTCCAACAATGGACAATGATCTAGGAATTCATATTGTTTGTCCTTCATCTTTCCGAAGAGGACCAATGACATCAGGGAGGTGATGCTATGCCATGCAAGTGAATTGGATTTAAGTGAGGGAGGGCTGTGCAAAGTCACCAGCCTCATCTTTTCTTTTGGAGCCATCTGGGTCCAGTGGCAAGTTCCTTATCTGTCACATAATGCTTCATTGACAAGGATGGGACAAATATTTCTAGCTTTTGTATATAACAGATCCTAAACTAATCTGATATTTTCTCATTCTTGTCTGTTGAGACCAATGAAAAAGAAATGTTTAAACAAGTAGAATAACTAATTCCATGATATGAGATTGTCTTCTGAATACAATTAGATTGCTACTACTAGCCTTTTTTGTTTTGTTTTTGGGAAAGAACGTGAGACTTTTTTTTTTTACCGTATTTTTGAATGGAACAGTCCTGAGTTTTTCTTCCTTCCTTCCTTCCTACCCCACTTCTTTCCTTCCTTTTTCCCCTTCCTCCCTCCCTTTAGAGAGTGCAGAATATATTGTTTCTGGAGACTAATTCAAAGTAACAGTTATTTATAATATTCCTTAGAATTTCAGTGGATCTAGTATGTGTCTTACATAGTTTATTTCAAGTATGGTTCTTTAATTAAGAATATAGGAAAATGATGAAAAAGGCTGTATCACATAAAATGGAGACAGTAAATTTAATGGTTCCTACCTCATGGGGCTATTATGATCATGGATCAAATTAGTTAATACATGTAAAAGGTACTTGGGAAATTTTAATCCAAAGAAATGTAATATATGTAAAAATAAACATTCATTGCAAATATACATGATTTTTTTTAAACGATAGAATCTAAGCTCCTTGGGGGGCAGGAGCTGTTTCATTTTTATTTTTGTACCCCAGTAGCTACCATAGAACCTGGCACATACTAGGCCCTTAATATTTATTGATTGATTGGATAAAGCAATTGAATACACAAAGTTCTAAAATTCAACAATATTCCAGGAAGGAAAAAGAACTGTGATTTCCATTTCAAGGGATTTAGCTTTTATTTTTCTTGGTTTATATTTATACTGCTAAGAAAAAAAAAGTGATGGGATTCCAGGAGAGTGTCACAGCTTCAGTCCAATGCTAAAACAAACATATGCATAAGGCTGAAAAAAAAAAGCAGGCTTGTTAGGTTTAAAATAGCGATAGGGAAAATGATTAAAAGTAGCATCTTCCTCAAAGGAAAAAAAAAGATTGAATAAATTGGCAAAAGTTGTTCCAGGTCCAGGCAGTATGAGTTCCAGATTTGTAGTCACTAGTCCTGGAAGAGAAGAGGTTAACACATACTATTCCTTGTTTATAGTCATCTTACAAACTACTAGTACATCTGAAAGACACGTGGTTGATACAAGAAGACTACATTTAGCTAGAGGAAGGGAAAAAGCATTTGCTGAGTGCCTGCTTTGTGTGT